GCGCCTCCTTGTCCCGGCCGCGGCGGGGCGGGGGTGCTCGTCCAGGCCCGGCGAGCGGGAAAACAATAATATTAATTAATAGTAATAATAATAAAGGGAAGCGGGGAATGGAGACCTGGCCGGGCTGGGAAAACGGCGGGAGCTGCGAGTTTTGTCGTGGGTTTTTTGCCGCACGAAGCTGCGTGGGGTCTCCCTTCGTTAAGAGGCTTCGTCCCCTCCCCGGGGCTTGTGAGCGCTCCCCAAATTAACCCTTACAACGCTAATTAACGCACATATATTTGGAGCGAGGCAGGGATCGGCCGAGCTTCCTGCCGAGAAACGCCGCCCTGGCTTCCCGATTCCTGCTTTCCTGCCCCCGTTTTAAATCTAAGACAGATGAATTTTGCACTCGTCCGCCCATCGGCTCCGTGTGGTTTCCAGGCGAAACGTTTCAGCGCTTCCAGGCTCGGTCCAACTATGTTTGCTACGTGTGTTGCCTCCTTTCTTGGCTGCCTTTATGTGAGAGCATTTTGCTTAAGCAGCAAAAGCGAAATAATAGATTCCTTAAGTCATTTCCCCATCCCCTTTCTCCCAGCGGATGCGTCAGGGCTTTTGCAGCTTCCTGGGGAAAGGTTGTGCTGAAAAGCGCTTTTTTTGGAGGGTTTTACGCGTGCGGCTCTGCGTCGTCGTCGTGGCAGGGCGGGCAGAGGTGAAAGCTCATCTGTGAGTCAAAAGCAACGCGATTCCGAGGTCCAAACACGTCATCCTGGAGCATCTGGTGAAACCTGTCACCGAGGGGGGAGTCGCTGTACCACGAGCCCTTTGCAGGTGTTTTCGTGCTGTCCGTGTGGGTTTTTCCCTTCGAATGGCACCGTTCTGGTCGCCGGTGGCCAGTGAAGCCCTGTGCAGCTCTTGGAGGCGCCGAGCGCGGTGCCCGGTTGTGTGTCCCGTGTCACGTCCCTCATTGGAAGCACTTTGCTAAGGGCGGTATCCAAAAGTGCCAGATAAGGCTCGTGCCAGCGCTCCGGGAGTCCCCGTGCAGCCCGCAGGATCTGGGGAGCTGGTTTATCCAGGATATCCAGGGATATTC